GTATAATATAGTAATTTTATATTAAAAATAATACACTGAGTTTAATAAAAATTAAAAAGATACTATTGACAGATAATTAATAAAACATTGAAAAAAAAAAAAGAAATTTCATCAAAAAAAAATTTTTGTTTATATATTTATATAAAATTGTGAAATGTAGTACAAAATTAACACTCACCATTAGTGAAAATAAAATAAAAATTAATTATAAATTCAATATATAATATTTTAAAAAGTTATATAAATATGAAAAATAAGCAACTAAAAACTCTTAGTATTTTAAAATAATACCAAAAATATGCAATTTAATTATCTTACATAGTATAAAATTTTCTTAAAATTAAGCATTATAAAATTCTTACATCATAAAACTTTACTATGTTGGCTAAGCACCTTGGTACCTTACATATATAAGTATTTTCTGGGGTCCTGATACATTCATGGATATCCATGTTAGCGAGATGAAAATTTCCATGATTTAAGGCTATAAATTCCATGAAAATGATACATTCACGGAAAAAACAAAGATAAACACGGATCAGATTTTTTACAGGGCATTTGGGAAGTTCATTACTAATATTGCTATAAGTAGAAATGCTGTACAATAGTCACATGTCTGTCATTAGGACAGCATAAAAAAGATGCCGCTATTGCTAGGGCCTTCAGCTTTGTTGATAATGGGTTAATATTATACTTTCTGAAGGAAATTGTACATTAATAAAAAAATCGGCATAAATGAAATGTAAAAATAGATTGTGACACATGATAATATTTCATTGTCCATTGTCATGCGGCACTTATTATTAAATATATACCCTATAAAAAATTTTTCGGAAAAATAGTCACGTGTATGAGTTTCTTTGTAATATCGTAATAAAAACTAGAAAAATGAAGTTTTTCCCCAGAATTTCTATTATAGGAATATAAAAAATTTCTGTTATATAATGTTACAAGTGATATTATTTCTATCAACATGTTTCCATAAATTTTTTCAATAATTCCATATTAAATTAATTTAAATTATATATATTTAATCATATCTAATTATAAAATATTAATATAAATTTGCCTCAAATTATGAACAATAATAATAAATGAAAGTTGGATTTGTAATTTTGATCTAGAAATTTAAAGATCACATAAAAAACTACAATTATCATTCATCACTAAATTACAATCAACCTTTTATCTACAATATAGGCCATTCTCAAGTATCTCCTTCAATTTGATCAGATAGTGATGTTATTATGCTCAAGTATCACTGAGAATATCTTTTTTATAGCTTGTCATTAAGCAACAGGTATTTTTTATTTTTTTTATAATGATGACTTGAGTAAAAGTTAGGAAATTAAAAATTTCTTGCATTAAAAGTGAAATAATATAAACTTAAATGATAATCAAGAATTTTCTATCAATAGAAGATCATTGAGATCATTTGAAGAAAAAAATGGTTTTAGCTTGCTTGTTAGTCATTAAAATAGGAAGCTTTTCAAAACTCTTTGAATCTTACTGATACATTTTTGGTTAATTAGATCACTCATCAATTTATCATTTGAGTGCTTGAGAACATCCCTGTAAAAAAAGTTGATCCATTTTTTATATTCTATCATTTTTCCAGAATTTATAACCTTATATCACGGAATTTATTGAATTATTTACATTTACCATGAATGGATCCGTGAAGGGCTAATTTTTACAGATTTTTACAGAAATAACGGATAAAATTTTTTATAGGGCACAAATAAAATAGTTTATCAATCTAAATTAGAAAAGAGATTAAGTTGTTAAATACTAGTATTGATTATGCAACTTCAATAAATGAATTTCATGGTGATATTTTAGGTATTTAGCTGCTTTTATAATTTATAAGAAATAAATCATAATTATAATATTACTCCAAATTTTTAAAGTATAGATTGGATATAAACTTAAATCTGCTAAACAAATTACAAATAAATTATATATATAAATAAATGCTATTTCAATAATTATCAATATTTGTATATAATAATAATGTTTACTTTATTGTAAAAATGGTAGAATAACACAATTATTTACTATTTAATAACTAATAACTGATAAATAATCAAGAATAAACAACAGAAATGTTAATCTTCAATTGCACATTCAAAACCCTGAGTCTTTTGAACTAAAATTTCAGCAAGTTTGCGACTTGTATAATGTGCTTGTGGATGAGATTGTGTAATAGAAGAATTTACTTGTTCCTGCGCTAAAGATTTGTTTGCCATAACAAATTCCAACATAACATCTTTTAATTGATTATCAATATTAGGTACATCAAATTTATAATTTCCATCACTGTTTATTCTATAATAATCACTAATACATCCAATCCATTCAGATATAACATTTTCAAGCATTATTATAGTTGGTCTATTGGCAGGATTTGAATCCCAACATTTTTTCATTAAATTCACATAACATTTTGGAGTATTTTTTATAATTTTAGGACGTTCTCCTTTACAAATACTCAAGATCAGATCATAATCATGTGCTTCACATTTAAATGGGGGAATACCTGATGTAAATTCCCACATTATCATTGAAAAACTATAAATATCACTTGCTGGAGTATAGGGGTTATTTCTTAATATTTCAGGCGCCATATAAGGTAAAACTCCATAAATTTCATTATCAGAATCCTGTAAATCACTTACAGGTTTACATAATCCTAAATCAATAATAAATAACTCATTATGATTATCTGACATTAAAATATTGCCATCATGAAAATCGCCATGAGTTAAATTTGATTCATGAATTACTTTAAGCCCTAATATAATTTTTTTCAATAAATGTAACTTGTCTTGCCACGTAAATCTAATTATATCAGATAAACATTTTCTTAAACTTCCTTTTTTTGCATAACTCATTACTACTATATAATTTAAACTATTTGGATCTTGAGTAATTCCAAAGAATTGAATAAACTTTGAAAATGATTTTTTCTGACAGTTATAATGATATTTCCACTATATAAATAATAAAAAATTATTAAATTTTTGCAAGAGAAAATAAAATTTGTATTAAATAATATAAATAACATACCTCCTCCAGAAATTTATTATTTAAGTTTGATGATTTATTAAGTGTTTTAAGAATAATCTCATAACCTGTTTGAAAATTACATCTATTCCATTGTTTTTTGTCAAAATTCCAACTAAAAATAGGTCCATCTAACCAGATAGCTTTATGAATTTCACTGAATCCTCCTTTATCATAATAATTAATGCTTGACAATTTATCATAAGGTATCCATTCCAAAATTTCATAACTATTTTTAGCGTTTAATTGTGCTTCTTGAATAAATTTATCAATAAATTTATTTTTACTAGTCCACTTTGAAAAATCTTGTTGAAATTGTTTATCATTACATTGTTGACACCACTGGTAATCAGTATATGGTTGTTTGCATTCATTACATAATTCAACTTTATTATTAGGACTCACTTTATTACTTTCTGCTACTTTTTGATGCCAATAAAAGGCTTTTTCTAAATTCTTTTCTGTTCCTTTTCCATTGTCATAGCATGTGGCTAAATTATTCATTGCTTTAATATGATCTTTTTCTGCTGCTTTTTGATACCAATGGAAGGTTTTTTCTAAATTCTTTTCTGTTCCTTCTCCATTTTTATAACATATGGCTAAATTAAACATTGCTTCTTTAATACCATTTTCTGCTGCTTTTTGATACCAATAAAAGGCTTTATCTAAATTCTTTTCTGTTCCTTTTCCAATTTTATAACATATGGCTAAATTGAACATTGCATCAGTGTGACCATTTTCCACTGCTTTTTGATACCAATAAAAGGCTTTTTCTATATTCTTTTCTGTCCCTTTCCCATTTTCATAACATATGGCTAAACTAAACATTCCATCAGTGTGACCATTATCTGTTGCTTTTTGATACCAATAAAAGGCTTTTTCTAAATTCCTCTCTGTTCCTTCTCCATTATTATAACGTATGGCCAAACTAAACATTGCTTCTTTAACACCATGTTCTGCCGCTTTTTGATACCAATAAAAGGCTTTTTCTATATTCTTTTTGGATCCTTCTACATTATACCTATTGGCTAAATTAAACATTGCTTCTTTATCACCATTTTCCGCTGCTTTTTGATACCAATAAAAGGCTTTTTCTAAATTCTCTTCTGTTCCTTTTCCAATTTCATGATATACGATTAAAACAGAAATTGCAATAATAAAACCATTTTCTGCTGCTTTTTGATACCAATAAAAGGCTTTTTCTAAATTCTTTTCTGTTCCTTTTCCATTTTCATAATAGAAGGCTAAAATAAGCATTGCTTCTTTAATACCATTTTCTGCCGCTTTTTGATACCAATAAAAGGCCTTTTTNGTGTAATCATTTTCTGCTGCTTTTTGAAACCAATAAAAGGCTTTTTCTAAATTCTTTTCTGTTCCTTCTCCATTTTCATAACATAAGGCTAAAATAAGCATTGCTTCTTTAATACCATTTTCTGCTACTTTTTGAAACCAATGAAAGGCTTTTTCTATATTCTTTTCAGTTCCTTCTCCATTTTTATAACATATGGCTAAATTAATCATTGCTTCTTTAACACCATTTTCTGCTGCTTTTTGATACCAATAAAAGGCTTCTCCTAAATTCTTATCTGGTCCTTCTCCATTTTTATAATATATGGCTAAATTAAACATTGCTTCTTTAATACCATTTTCTGCTGCTTTTTGATACCAATAAAAGGCTTTATCTAAATTCTTTTCTGTTCCTTTTCCAATTTTATAACATATGGCTAAATTGAACATTGCATCAGTGTGACCATTTTCCACTGCTTTTTGATACCAATAAAAGGCTTTTTCTATATTCTTTTCTGTCCCTTTCCCATTTTCATAACATATGGCTAAACTAAACATTCCATCAGTGTGACCATTATCTGTTGCTTTTTGATACCAATAAAAGGCTTTTTCTAAATTCCTCTCTGTTCCTTCTCCATTATTATAACGTATGGCCAAACTAAACATTGCTTCTTTAACACCATGTTCTGCCGCTTTTTGATACCAATAAAAGGCTTTTTCTATATTCTTTTTGGATCCTTCTACATTATACCTATTGGCTAAATTAAACATTGCTTCTTTATCACCATTTTCCGCTGCTTTTTGATACCAATAAAAGGCTTTTTCTAAATTCTCTTCTGTTCCTTTTCCAATTTCATGATATACGATTAAAACAGAAATTGCAATAATAAAACCATTTTCTGCTGCTTTTTGATACCAATAAAAGGCTTTTTCTAAATTCTTTTCTGTTCCTTTTCCATTTTCATAATAGAAGGCTAAAATAAGCATTGCTTCTTTAATACCATTTTCTGCCGCTTTTTGATACCAATAAAAGGCCTTTTTTAAATGCTTNAAGTTTAATTTAAAAAAATTTTATATAAAAAAAAATGTAATATAAAAATTAAGAACTGAGTTGACAAAAATTTGAAATAACATGAATTTTAAATTAATTCTTTCATTAATTATAAATTCAAGTAGTTTAAAAATAAAAATAGTAAAAAAAAATATTTTTTATGAAATATCACAGTATTTTTTAAAAGAAATACACTTATAATTTTAATTTGTAATTATGTAATATCCAAATATTTAATCTTACAAATAGAAAAAAATGTAAAAAAAATTTTATGATGTTTTTATAAAAAAAGAAAAAATTTTAAATTTTTGAAAAAAAATTTCGTCTAACACTTTTTTAATTGATTATCACAAGATCTGCATGATCATCTATACGTTTTTAATTTTTTTAACTTTATTTATTTCTTAAATAAGGGGGACTTCGTCCCCCAAGCATATCATTTGTTCATATATGCCAATTTTTGGAATTAGCACTTTTTGATTCTAAAAAACAAACTTTACCAAATTACCGGTTGCACAAAATAATAATCTATGAATAAAATTGTTAATCATATTTTTTTTAATACACCATTATTAAAATTTAAATAATCATTATAAAATTCTTGGAACAAAATTGCAAATAACTTGATGTCTATGTAAGATAAATGGATGAATTTATATTCATCCAAAAGAGAAAATTAAGACCTATCTAATGAATCCAAAAACAAATGAATTGATTCACTGGTTGCTAAGCAAATGCATTCAATATATATTTTTTTTTTAATATTTATCTTTGATTGTTGATATCACCATGCCTAGTAATGCTAAAATAAAGTACATTCTTACCTTTCAAATGAGTTTAAAATTATTTGATTAGCATATGTGCTGTCTCTTATACACATCTCCATATTCATAACGTATGGCTAAAATAAGCATTGCTTCTTCATTACCATTTTCTACTGCTTTTTGATACCAATAAAAGGCTTTTTCCAAATTCTTTACTGTTCCTTCTCCATTTTCATAACATAAGGCTAAAATAAGTACTTTTTGATAACAATAAAAGGCTTTTTCTAAATTTTTTTCTGTTCCTTTTCCATTTTTATGACATATGGTCAAATTAATAATTGCTTTAATATGATCTTTTTCTGCTGTTTTTTGATGCCAATGGAAGGCTTTTTCTAAATTCTTTCCTGTTTCTTCTCCACCTTTATAATGTATGGCTAAATTAAGCATTGCATCTTTAAGACCATTTTCTACTGCTTTTTGATACCAATAAAAGGCTTTTTCTAAATTCTTTTCCGTTCCATTTCCATAATGTATTGCTAAATTGAACATTGCTTCTTTATTACCATTTTCTGCTAATTTTTCTAAAGAATTAATACATTCTTCACACCATAATTCTTTAGTAAAAAGTTTATTACAATATAAACAATTTTTGACATTCATTGTATTGATATCATTATTTGAGATATTTAAATTACTACATTTCGTTTCCATTTTATTATTTAGTAGAAACTTATTTTATTGAAAGAATTTATTTTTTTTGACAAATTTTTTTTTATATGTTATGAATGAGTTACTAAAAAGGAATACTTTTACCAAATGTAGAAAAAAAAAAAAATAAAATTAATTTTTTTCGGGCCATATTTTTTCCGGTAAGTGATCTGCATTGAGGTAGAATCAACTAGTCCAGAAAGTATATTTCAAGAGTATTTTAGGTACATTTTGGATATAATAAACTAGAATATGCGATTTGCCGGGGGACTTCGTCCCCCAAATATAACATTTATAATTAAAAAAATTCTTTGATATAAATAAATTGAATTGTATGTAAAATCACTAAAATATTACTGAATAATAAAATTTATTATAATTAGATCCTATAAAAAATCATGTTTTTAATAAGGTTTTATACAATTTTTTCTTAAAAATAATATTTCTAATCTATATAGGAATACAGAAAATGCACAATTCCAT